CAACGAACCCCTGTTGCTTTGCCTCGGGCACCTCTGTGCCAGCAACATGGTGAAGGATGCATTTACTTAATAGGTGATTAATTTTGTACAAGCTGCATTTGGATGGAAATTGGGATTCAATTAAAAATGCACAAAAATTGCATTTTTAAATTGTTTTTCATTAGTTAAACAAAACGACCTTAAGTATGCTAAATACAAAGAAAACAAGTATATTTATCAAAACATGTTTTGCATTTAAAAATAACAGATTTATTAAAAAAGGAATAATGATCTCTAGTCAGGGAACTGGGTGGGATCCACAAATGGACTGAGGTGCCTAACTCTCATTTTTAGGCACCACTACAGTCCACAAAACTCCCACTCAGCTGCCACCTAACCCTGTAGGGGCCTATGATTTTGCCTCTGGACAGGTACATGGTAGCCTCACTCTTGCAGACCATCTTAGCATGCACACTACTGCCTCATGATAGGTATCTGGATGCCTATCTCCCTCCTAAGACCCAGACTGGTTCCCAAACTGGGAAAGATAGGTGTTCGGCTACCTAAATTGCATGTGGGGGCCCAATCCAATAGGAATTGCCTCCCTTTGAGGGACCTGCTGTGTCACCCAGATGGGAGGGGCAGTAGGGACTAGCAAACAGGACTATGATGTGCACAGCTCCATGAGGAAGGGGTGCATGCGCAGAGCAGTTATCACTCAGCTGTGGTCTACACTGCAGTTAGGTCAATGTAAGTTACCTTACGTTGACCTATATCAGTGAACACACTACAGCCTTGGTCCTGCCAAGGTAAGTGCCCTACTTACACTGACATAACTCCACCTCCATGAGAGGTGTAGGGCTTATGTCAGTGCACTCAGGGCGATGCAGCGTCCATGTAGACACTGTGTTACTTACACCAGCTGTCGGCTGTCATTCTTTCCTGTCCAATTCCATGAAGCCCTAAAATTGACAAGACAGTCCCTGTTCTCAGCCGGCTACTGACGGGGCTTCCCATTTGGAAGTGGGCTGCTCCCGCATCTCTGCTCCCTGCCTGGCTGCTGCCCAGGCTCCCCCCTCGGAGTTGGGCCGCTCCCGAGAGCCGGGGGGTGCTAGGATCCCAGCAGGGAATGGGGGGGAGAGGGGAGACCAACCAGCGTGGAGCCAGGAGCCCCGGGAGCAGCCAGGCTCTGAGGGGGTGGGGGAGAAGCTGCTATGGACTTGCCCAGGCTCTCAGCCCCCCACACTGTGCCGCTTAGGTCAGTGAAAACAACCCTGCTGAGGACACGCACCACCCCCCACAGGAGGCGGCTACCGCAGGCATGAGCTGTAAGTTGCCTTAACGAGCGTTGCCTGAAGGCCGCAGGGTAGAAGTGCCCCGACGGACAGGACCAGAAGAAAAAGCTGTTGCTTGTATCGCCAACCGCCCTTAAATCCGACTTCGCGCATGCGCAGTGCTACAGAGGCCGCAGTCCCGCCTGCCTCCAGTCCCGCCCTTGTGCTTCCGGGTCAGGCGCGCGCAGGGGTCGGCTTGGGACTGGAGCCTTGGCCCTGGGCAGCGACTGGCTCGTGCAGCTTGGTGGTGAGAGCCGCCCGGCCCCCCGTGGCTCTGCGGACCGCGCCGCTGCCGTGTGGGGTTAGCAGGGAGCGGCCGCGCCGGCCGGGCCCCCGGGGCAGGGACGGGGGGTAGCGCGCTAACAAGCCCGTGCGGCTGGCCCGGGAGCGGGCTCGCTCTCCTTGGCCCGAGTCTCTCCCGCCGCTGTCCGTGGGCGGGGCAGGTCCCGCTGAAGTTTCCCTGGATGGATCCCGAAGCTCCCCTGGTCCGGAGGCGACTCTGCGGAGCCCGCGGCTGAGCCCCGCGTGGCCGCTGCCTCAGTGCGGGCTGCGTGTGATTCCTGCCTTTGGGACAGCATGTTGTCGCTTGTGACCAGGGCAGCGGGGGTCTGGGTCAGGCTGCGGCGAGCCTGTAGCACTGCTGCTTTGTTATGCTGTCAGCCGTGCATGGAAAAATGCCCTGCGGATCATGTTGTGTTCTCCAGACCCTATAGTTCCCAAAAGAAGGTGATGAACTTTTTTGTTTGAAATAGATACAATATTTGAAAACTAGTACTACTGTCGCGAAGGGGATGGAAATCCCTTTAACCCAAGTGGATGTCTCTTGGCCCTTTAACTTTTATTTCTACTCTTAGTAAGAAGGCTTAACTCACCCTGTTTGAGAGGATTAACCCCTGTATGCATTTAAACAGGGTGAGTTAGGCCTTCTTGTTAAGCACGTATTACTTGTTTTCAAGTATTTCTATGTTGTGACCCCTTTTCCTATTTAGCAGTATGGGATAGGAAGGATGGTTGCGACTTGCTGACCTGTTCTTGACACACGCCTCCCCTAGCATGAGAAGACCAGTCATAAAATAGTTACAGGGACAGCAGATCTATGTCACTTAACGGTACTCACTGACAATAGCAGGGATCTCTGTGCATATTCAGTGGCCAGTATCTGCTTTCTTTTCTCCTCCCTGACCCCTCGTTCTGTATAAGGCCTGGTCTACATCAAAACTTAGGTTGACCTAGCTATGTTGTCCAGGGCTATAAAAATTTTAAGTCCTGTGAAATATAGTTAGGTCAGCCCCCACTGTGGACACAGTTAGTCAATGAACTAGCTGCTGCTTCTGAGAGAAGTATATTAGCTATATTGACAGAAAAAAACAAACAACCTTTTACATGGACCTATGAAGCGTCTATAGCAGCACAGCTGCAGCATAGTAGCTGCAGTGTAGATTACGGAATGTTTTAATGAGGAGTTATTTGTGGTTCCTGGTTCAATTTCCAGTGTCCTTTTTAAAAAAAAGTTTGTCTTTAGTAAGAGAACAAGCAGGAACATCAAAGAAATTTGAGTCTTTTCCATACATGGAAGCTGGGATGGTTCACGCTCCCTCTTCTCCTCCAGCTCAGAAAAAATAAAACAAAAAAACCCCCACACAACTCAAGCTTTTACTTTCATGAGTAAGAGAATGGGGAGTCTTCATGGTTGGACTGGCACTGCTATGTATAGCTGTGTTCTGTATTTTCACCCTTACCTTAAATTACATCAGTTCTAGTAAAAGGTGGTTTATGCTACGCTCTTAAAACTGTCTCAGCTCTCTCAACTGATCTTGCAATACTTCCATAAACTGCCACAAGTACTCCTTGTTCTTTTTGCTGATACAGACTAACACGGCTACCACTCTGCATCCTGAATAGTTGATTATCTTGACAATGATGATAGGTAATTGTATTTGAAGAAATTTAAATAAACGTAAATTGTACAAAATATGTAATTGTCACCCCACAGGAAAAGTATCAAGTTTTGTATTATTCATAAAATTACAGTATGTCGAACATTTACAGCAAGCTTAATGACTGATCTAGCACCTTTTAAACTTTAAGAAGGCTTACAAGAATGTAACAAACAAACCTAATTTGACTGGAATACAGAACAACAGTATTGAGCTGGCATGTTTGTAAGCATAACTATGGTCAGTTCACTGCTTCCAAAGATAATATATCCATATCAGTCATTTCCCAAAAATGTTGTTTTGGTGCTTGCCTATTTTCAGTCACTTGGATTTTAATATTGTTTGCTCTGGTTCGAAATAAAGTTTGAAACTCAACTATGTCTAATGGTCTGAGCTCAAATTGGGAGCCTAGGTACTTGAGTCCTAATTGTGGCTCTGCCACTCACTTGCTAGGTGGGCAGGTCAGTGTAACCTCATCTATGTTTCCCCATCTGTAAGATGGGAAGTCTTACTGAACTTGTGGGTATTTGAGGTGTGATTAGTCAATATTTGCATACTTTTAAAACAAAGCAGAGTGCTAGTATTACCATAGCTTAAAAGACTCCAAAATGTTTGGCAATAGACATGGAAGGGTAGCTTATCTATTTACTGTTCTGAGGTTTTTTTATGCACTTTTTCCCTTGTAAAGAAGAAACAAAAACAGGTCCCATTGTTTCTGCTGAACATAATGTGATAGCATATTCCAGCAGCAATATTCCTTTTTGCTTCTAATGGTACTCTAATTCAGTGCGGTTGGAGACTAAGCAGCCCCTAAACCAGGGATTGGCAACCTTTGGCCTGCGGCCTGCCAGGGTAAGCCCCCTGGCGGGCCGGGCCGGTTTGTTTACCTGCCACGTCCGCATGTTCAGCCGATCGTGGCTCCCACTGGTCGCGGTTCACCGCTCCAGGCCAATGGGGGCGGCGGGAAGCGGTGGCCAGCACATCCCTCGGCCCCCATTGGCCTGAAGCAGCGAACCGCGGCCAGTGGGAACCGTGATTGGCCAAACCTGCGGACGTGGCAGGTAAACAAACCTGCCTGGCCCACCAGGGGGCTTACCCTGGCGGGCCGCGGGCCAAAGGTTGCCGATCCCTGCCCTAAACAGTGCATGGTTTTGTTTTTTTGGGGGGGGGGGGAAACGGTGCAGCATGCATAATATAGTGCCTGTTACATGGCCCACAAAATGCCATATATAGGAGACTTCGGGTCTGATCCTGCAGTCCTTATACAGATAGCACCCATGGAAGTCAGTGGAAGACTTTTTTGCCTAAAAATTTACATAATTTGGTTCTGAGACACAGTTGCACAATCTTTGTAGCTAAGGAAGGCTAAAAGTCAGCCACAGAGCAAGGTTTGCTTCAGAAATTTATAACATCCCACCAAAAAGGACTTGATTGATCACTTGATGTACTTACATTGCCTGCTGACATAGTCATATTCTGCAGAATTTAAACTTTTATAAAGGTTAAAATAAATTTCTTGTGTCATAGTTGTAAATGTATTTTCTAAATGTAAACATTTATACATTGTTGTTTTTCCTGAGTGTGCAGACAATTCGAAATAGTAGCTGTTAGGTGTTAACACCCCACAACTTCAATTAAACTTATTGGGATGTTAATACCAAAGACTGTCACTTTATAAGGCAGCATTATTTTATTTTGCATGTATTAGCAGATAGGATGGGGAAAGGGTTGGGTGGGGGTAAATTGCTGCAGGAAAAGAGATATAGATGGGAGAAAGAAGCAGAGGAGGTAGTGAACCAAAGGAGTATGAGGAAGGAAGAGACAGAAATAGGAGGGATCATGAAGCTGAGCATATTTTCTTGCTGAATGGGTCAATAAAATATTGAATAATTAACTAAAATCTTAATACGTAGAGGCAGAGGCTTCCCTGAGTCTTTGCACACTACCTGCTGATATCAGTGGGCGTTCCACTTCGGATTGTTCATAGTATGCTGGCCTCAATTTATACCCTGGTTCCCACTACAGCTAAAAATGGAATTCAGTCTGCTCCAGAATAAGTTTGACACTCCTTGACTAATATATACAGAGGGTCATAAGCAAGGACCATGTCCAGATTTATTTTATTTTGGTTTAGGTGGCTTGGTCCTCTTCCATCTGTCCCCTCTTTCTAACTTTCTCCTTCCAGTGCCTGAACTGGCAAGTTGGTGACCAATCTGTCTTTGAAAAGTATTTGTGTGTCTTTTCTTTGCCCTCTAACCCTCCTTCGTCTTGGTAGTTTCGAATAGAATTGATACTTAGTAATTATTGGGGGAACTGTTCCCAAAAGACTAATTGTGTAGAGGAATTAATTTCTCAGGTTACAGGTCTGTCTCATCTTACACGGGGGTTCCGTTCCGCGGTTAGCGCGTAAAGCGAAAACCGCATATAGCCAAAATTCCATTGAGTTCAATGGCGGGCGAAATCGCCCGCAATACAGCTATAGTATTAAAATTGTTATTTTTCTCTCTTTTTTTTTGCCGACCACCTAAAGTTGAAATCGCGCATGTTAAATGTGTGTAAGATGCGACAGACCTGTACACTTTTGCAGCTGGAAATGAAACTTGACAGAATGAATAGGTGAGCCATAGCCTAATCTCAGCTACCTAGTGTCTGAAACACTTGCACTAGTTACCCTTTCCCCTAGCTTGTCCTCAGAATTATTTTAGAATGCTAAAACACTTGCAAAGCTGCTTCAAAATACTCTACTGAATGTTCTGTCAGGGGACAAAAAATTAAATAGATTTAATGGTAGCTGTTCATGTACTAATTTCACAAATGTTTGTACAAGTTACGGAAACAGACTTCAGTGGCAATGCAAACCCTGAGGGGGAAACAAAGAGGAAGAGGAGATGGGGGAGAAATAAGGATGAAACTATTTTTCAAGTTCCAAAAAAAAAAATCCAAAGAAATGAGGAGTTACTTGTTTTGTGTGTACAAGTATCATTCTACATCCAGATTTGTGAAATTACACCCTAATCTCTTTGTGAATAGGAATCTCTACATTTTATGTTTTTCAGGAAAAACTGGATATGTCTATATTTCCTGTTGAAAATATTAGAAATTTCAGTATCATAGCTCATGTAGACCATGGCAAAAGCACGCTAGCAGACAGGCTATTGGAAATTACAGGTAAGCATTGTGATTTTACATGTGTTTTTAGTTACCTTTACTTCTCATGTGGGCAGGCATTGTGCAGACTTCCTAGTACAGTTCTACCACAGCATCTCTAATATCCATGCTGTTCTAGTCCTGGGCTTCTCATGCACATACACCATCAGTTGTACAGCAATATAGATTTTGGTGTATTGCAAACAAATCTCAACTAGACAAACAAAACAAAAGAGGAGGGTGGGAAAAGAACCAGGGAGGGGATGTGTTGGGGAGTGGGATGAATCCATTATATTTAGAAATATAGTGTTCTCTGTGCAACTCCTGACAAACGATAAGTAGGTCAGTACCTACAATATTTATTGTACTTATAGTCAGTTTGAAGGGCATAGAAAATTTTGGGCAGTCAGAAGGGGACTGTTGAAACCTGGAAACTTAAGACTGGTTTTGGGGGGTAAAACTTAACACAGGTACTTCATGGTTATCCCTCCCATTTTGATGATGAGAGATAGAGCTGACTGACTTTGGAGCAAAAAAATCTTTTTTATGTTCTTGTGAAAATGGAGTGGTCAGGGGAATGTATGCGTCATACACTTTATAGCTTGGTGTACTGGGCTGGGATGTGGGAGATCCAGGTTCATCTTTCTGTTCTGTCTGATTTAGAGCAGAGTTCTTCTCTCTATGTGCCCCAGGCTCAAAAACCTTCCTGGAAAAATTGTGGAAATGCTACATCTCTACAAAACGTTTAGGCGTTAACAATACAGCACATTACACAGAAATTTCATTTAGATTAAAATGTTTCAACCTGCTCTAGTTCACATCACTCTTACGAACAAATAGTGGACCTTGTTTCATGACTATGGAGGTGTAGCTTGTAGTGAAATCAGTATGGTTATATTATATTCTGGGTGAGTCTATGCTTGGAATGCACCCCCATTTGTTGACCTGGCTCTGCAGTGTGCACATTAAGAATTCAGTGCAGATCCTGTGGAGTCTCTGTTGTTATGCAGATCTGCTGACTGTTTCACGCCCCAAGTAGAAAGAGTGCAAGTGGCAGAGAAGCTGCTTCATTTGTGAGGTTGGATTTCTAGTAGACATGGAGGAACTGTGCTGCTATTGAGTGACCCAAGGGGGAAGGATTCCTTCAACCCCAACCCCAAAGGAACTCCCAGGCTATGGTCTGGAGTATGATTTATAGGTCTTAAGCCTCCCTCAGGGTGTCTGTAGATTCAGATTTCAGAGTAGCAGCCGTGTTAGTCTGTATCCGCAAAAAGAACAGGAGTACTTGTGGCACCTTAGAGACTAACAGATTTATTAGAGCATAAGCTTTCGTGGGCTACAGCCCACTTCTTCGGATGCATATGCACGAAAGCTTATGCTCTAATAAATCTTTTAGTCTCTAAGGTGCCACAAGTACTCCTGTTCTTTTTGTAGATTCAGAAAGAATCATTTCACATTACAAGAAGTTATTTTTGTAATCACAAGATCGTGAAACAATTTTATTTTAATTGAAAGCTTAGATTCTGCATAAACTGATAGATCAGCCCCACTCATGAAGGAAAGTGTCCTGTGTGCCTTTGGAAAGTGGATTTGTCAAGCTTTGCTCTTATGTAAAAAGTCACCATTTAGATCTATTTTTAAATTTTGGGGGAAGGAATCCTTTCCCCTTGGATCACTCAATAGTTTGCAATGGTCTTTATTAGAAACTAAATAGAAGCTACCGTACTCCTTTCGGACCGTGCAAAATTATACTTGTGTAAAATTCAATTTTTAAAACATGTGTTTTTAGGAACAATTGCTAAAACTGACCGAAATAAACAAGTGCTGGATAAACTGCAAGTGGAACGGGAAAGAGGGATCACAGTTAAGGCACAGACTGCATCTCTCTTTTACAGTTATGAAGGAATGAACTACCTCTTAAATCTCATTGACACACCAGTAAGTTAAGTATAAATATTGCTAAAAATCACAGGAACCTAAATGTCCTTACTTTAAAATACTCTTACTCTTTTGAAATGTTAGGTTTGCCCATTATTCTGTGGTATTAAATTTGTAAATTAATCCTGAATATTTTTCCTCCACGGAGGCTTGAGCTGATGTGTTAATGTCATACAGATGAAATCAACCAGAGACTTACTGCAAATGACTCTAGTTAAAGTTGTACTTGGAGTTCTAAATATCAATTTTTCTTCACAGGGTCATGTAGATTTTAGCTATGAAGTATCACGGTCACTGTCTGCCTGTCAAGGTGTCATTCTTGTAGTGGATGCAAATGAGGTAGAGTTCCAAATTCTCCTGTTTTACATAGTAAAAAGTATTGCTTATGAGGTTTCCTAAGTCGCTTAAACTTCCACTTTTGTTACCCTTTTACCCTTTGGAAAAAGTGCTATTGCCACCCCAGACAAAGAATGAGAAAGCGACTTAGGAAGTACCAATTAGATATGTGCCTGTGGATACGCTCGTCCTATGAAATGAACATATAATAAGCTTAACCAGTAATATTGCAAGATTAGTGCCCTGCTTCCTACAAAGTGCTGAACTCATCCTCTGGGCTGAGTAGTGCCTTCAACTCCAGTAAAGTCTGTGGAGTTGAAGGCACTCAGCTTCTTCCAGGAAGTGCTCAGCAGCTCACAGGATAAAGCCCCCGAGCCAAGTTGATTCTGGAATTCTAATGCAGTAACAATGCAAATCAGACCAGTGTAAGACGAGTATACTCATTTTGTTTAGTTTTGTGATACAGTCAGCAGCACTTCAAACTGTTAGAGATTTTGAATTTAAAATTTTGCTTTGGGGAGACATTCCTAACTCTAGCTATACTATAGTATTGCTAAAAACATAACTTTGATGACATTTGTGCTTGTGCCTCTTTAGAGGGCCAGAATAGATATCTAGTAAACAGTTATTTACAGGAAAATTCATCTTGTTAAAGCAACAGGATATCAGAGAACATTAGATCTTACTATATTTCTGAAAGCGCACCTAAGTCAGTAGTTGTAGGCAGGTAAATAGTGTTAAACTGTTTTTAATGAAACTTTAATTTCAAATAGGATGTGCAGTTGAAATCTGAAGTGCTTCCCAATAATGGAGCTATAGAACATTGAAATGAGATTGATTTGTACAATTATCTGTCACACTTTATATTAAGGTTTCATTTATAAATAGTTTATAAAGGGTTAATAAATGATTATTAGCTGTTATAACCATGTTTCAAACACTAATATCATCTGCAAACTTTAAGTGTATTCTCTATGCCATGATCCAAATCATTTATGAATATATTGAGTACATATTGATAGAAAATATCATAATTCACTGCCTTATTATCTATCCCTTTTCTAATGGTTCCTACCATTCGGTTAGCTTTTTTGACTGCAACTGGACATTGAGCGGATGTTTTCAGAGAACTATCCATGATGATTCCAAGATCTTTCTTGAGTGATTACAGATAATTTAGACTGCATCACTTTGTACGTATAATTGGGATTATTTGTTCCCATGCGCATTAATTTATACTTACCACTGAATTTCATCTGCCATTTTGTTGCCCAGTCACCTAGCTTAGTGAGATCTCTTTTTAAGTCTTTGCAGTCAGATTTGGTCTTAACTATTTTGAGTAATATTGTATTGTTTGATAACTTTGCCACCTCACCGTTCACCCCATTTTCCAGATCATTTTTCAATATGTTGACCAACACAGGTCCCAGTACAGATCCTTGGAGGACCCGGTTACTTACCTCCCTTCATTGTGAAAGCTGACCATTTATTCCTATTCTTTATTTCCTATCTTTTAGGCAGTTGCTGATCGATGAAAGGACCTTCCCCCTTATCCCATAACTGCTTACTTTCCTTAAGAGCCTTTGGTGAGGGACCTTGTCAAAAGCTTTCTGAAAGTCCAAGTATGCTATATCTGCTGGATCACTTTTAGCCACGTTTGTTGATCCCCCTCAAAGAATTATACTAGATTGGTGAGGCATGGTTTCCCTTTATAAAAGCCATGTAGACCCTTTCCCAACATACACCTCTACCTTGATATAACGCTGTCCTCGGGAGCCAAAAAAATCTTACCACATTATAGGTGAAACCGCGTTATATTGAACTTGCTTTGATCTACCGGAGTGTGCAGCTCCACCCCCCTGGAGCACTGCTTTACCGTGTTATATCGGGTCGCGTTATATCAAGGTAGTAGTGTATGTTCATCTAAGTGTCTGATAATTCTGTTTTTTACTATAGTTACAACCAATTTGCCTGATGCTGAAGTTAAGCTTACCAGCCTGTAATTGCCAGGATGCCCTCTGGAGCTTTTTTAAAAAATCAGTGTGACTTAGCTACTGGGTCACTCACCACACTGGCGCCTCCTGCTGGGCATCTCAGGAATAAACTCAGTCCCAGTTGGTGCACCCTCAGGTGGTGGTGGTGGCTCTCCCATCCTCGCCTCCACACCCGTTACAGCTCCTTTCTCTCGTCATCTGCTTCATGGCACAGCCCTCCAGCCATGTCAACATCTGGTCCCCCCCGGGGGACTCCTCCAACAAGAGCCCAGCCACTTCTCACAGCAGTTTGGCAGTCCACAGCCGAGCTGCTCCTTCCCTGCTAGCACCTGCCCATCCCCCAGTACTGTAGCCCTCTAGGATGCCAGTCTTCTCCTTAGGGCTCCCTGTAGTAGACTAACTCACTCTGATCTGCAGCTTCCTTTTATATTGGCCGGCTGGGCCCTGACTGGATGGTCCAGCCACCACCTTAATTGTCTGCAGCCACCGCCCTAATTGTCTGTTTTGCCTGCAGCCACTCCTTTGGCTGGCAGCTGCTTAGTCTGGGTATCTGGCTGGTCACAGAAGCTGATTTAAGCGATAGACTGTGTAACACAGTTGTTAGTTCTGCAATATCGTATTAGCGTTCCTTCAGAGCTCTTAGGTGAATATCATCTGGTGCTGATGACTTATTATTGTTTAAGTTATCAATTTGTTCCCACACCTCCTGTATTGACACCTCAATCTGTGACTGTTCCTCAGATTTGTCACCCAAGACATCAAATGGCTCGGCTGTGGGGATCTCCCCCACATCCTCTCAGTGAAGACCGATGCAAAGAAATCATTTAGCTTCTTTGCAATGACCTTGTCTTCCTTGAGTGCTCCTTTAGCACCTCCATCATCTGGTGACCCCACTGATTTTTGGGCAGGGTTCCTGCTTCTGGTGTACTTAAAAAAAATTCTGCTCTTCATTTTTCTGTCCTTAGCCAGTTGCCTCTTCAAATTCTTTCTTGGCCTGTTACCTTATACTTTTACGCTTGACTTGCCTGAGTTTATGCGCCTTTCTATTTTCCTGAGTAAAATTTGATTTCCAATTTTGAAATAATGCCTTTTTGCCTCAGACTGCCTCTTTTACTTTGCTGTTCAACCATGGTGGCCTTTTTTTGGTTATCTTATTGTTTTTTTGTTTGGGGTATACATTTAGTTTGAGCCTCTCTTACAGTGTTTTTAAATAGTCTCCATGCAGTTTGCTGGCACTTCACCCTTATGACTTTTCCTTTTAATTTCTGTCTATGTAGCTTCCTCATTTTTGTGTAATCCCCCTTTTTGAAGTTAAATGCTACTGTGGTGAGGGTTTTTCATTCCCTTCCTCCCCCCAAGGATGTTTAAATTTAATTACATTATAGATGCTATTACTGAGCGGTTCAGCTATATTCACCTTTTGGAGCAGATTCTCTGCTCCATTTAGGATTAAATCAAGAATTGCTCCTCCTGTTGTGGGTTGCAGGACAAGCTGCTCCAGGAAGCAGTCATTTATGGTGTCAGCATCCCTTCCTTAGGTGACATGTACATAGTCGATATGAAGATAGTTGAAATCCATTACTTTGGGGTTTTCTGTTTTTTGTAGCCCCTCTAATCTCCCTGAGCATTTTAAGTCAGTCATCATCCTGGTCAGGTGGTAGGTAATATATTCCTATTGCTATACTGTTAGTGTTCAAGCATGGAATTTCTATCCTTAGAGATGCTATGGTACAGTTTGAGTCATTTAAGATTTTTAGTTTAACTCTGTGCTTTCTTTCACATACAGTGCCACTCCTCCCCCACTCTGTCATTCGTGTATATTTGGTATCTTGGGATTACCGTGTACCACTGATTATCTTCATTCCGCCAAGTGTCTGGGATTCCTATTACATCAATATTTTCATTTAATGCTAGGCACTCCAATTCACCCATCTTAGTACTTAGACTTCTAGCGTTTGTATATAGGCACTTGTACATTTTGTCAATATTCAATTGCTTGCCTTCATGTGTGATGTTTAAATGGAACTATGTTTCATTTGACTGTTCCACACTAGCTCCTATCTGTACTTTATTAACATCTTTCCTATCCTCTTTACTTGGATATAGAGTTCCCCCTTTCATAAATTCATTCTTAAAGGATGTCTTTGCCCAAATAGTGTGTACCTCTGCACCTGTTGGCTTTCCCCTTGCCCTTACTTTAAAAAATCCTCTACAATCTTTTAATTTTACATGCCAGCAGTTTTGTTCCTCTTTGGTTTAGGTGGAGTCCATCCTTCCTGCATAGGCTCCTCTTTTCACAAAAGGTTCCCCAGTTACTAATAAACCTAAAACCCTCCTCCCTATACTATCATCTCATCCATTTGTTGAAACCTTGCAGTTCTGGTTCTGTGTATGTGTAACTGGAAGCATTTTGGAGAATTGTACCATGGAGGTCCTGGACTTAATCTCTTACCTAGCAGCCTAAATTAAATTTAACAGTGCCCAAAACCAAAATTTTTTGTTGCAGGTTGGATTGGATGTTTTGTTTGACCTGAAATTTTTTCCAAATTTTCAATTCACCGGAAATTCTAAAAAAAAATGCAGTTTTGGTTGACCAGAAATGACTTTTTTTTACAGAACTGCCAACCAACTAACAAATCAGTTATTTGTACAGCTCTAGTTATAAGTACATCAGTAGAAGGTGTTATAGGTGATTATTAGCAACTTATTGACCTACTGGATTCTATAACAATTGCTTTATTAAAATATCTATTACTTTTTAACCTTTTATAAACAGAACCTTAATATTAAGTGTCATCCAATTATCTTTTAAACAGGACTAGGTTCATACAGTATTGTAGAAGGGAATTATTTTTCAGCTTTAATACATTTACTATTACATTATTTCCATGTTTTTTATATTACCATTATCTAAAAGTGTATTATTGAAAAGCAATTAAAGAAAATAATACCTCTCCAAAAGAAGGGATGTGTGTAATAGGAAAATAGGCTGCTTATCTGTTAATACCCTAAACACAGAACATAGTAGTATTGGGTAATAAAATGTTGTTTATGAACACTTTCCAGGGTATTCAAGCACAAACGATGGCAAACTTCTATCTTGCTTTTGAAGCACAACTGGCAATAATTCCTGTTATAAACAAGGTAATAATCTTTTAGACTTGTATATAAAATAGCAATTTTTATATAACCATGACAAAATTATGAAATACAAGAAATGTATCACCAAATTGAAGGATGCAACAAAAGATGGAGTGAAGTTTACTTGTGTTTTAAGCTGCCAATCTTTAGTAAATATGGTATATTAGTATTTTAAGCTATTTGCAGTGAATTTTAGTTGCTGTGAAAGGTGTCATTTTACACAGTATGATAGGTAGAAACTTTACTTGGGTGACAGCAATGAAAGATTCCCCACACAGTGGCATTAAGTTTATACAGCTAGATATAAACTATCTGTATGCTAGATTTTTAGGACACGTCAGAGTTCTAGCTAATGTGTTTTAACAACACACCTTAAATCCTAGTCAAGGCAAAACCAAACTGAAGGGTGTAAGTTAAACTGTCCCCTCACCTCGTTTACTGTGCATCTTTAGCCCATTGGGGTGTAAGTTATGTTAACGTAGGGTACTTAGAAACATGTAACTTGCATCACTTCTGAGCTTGACTCACTCTGAATGTTAATCTGGAGAAACAAAAAAACAGCATTGTGGGTGAGATGGTGTTCCCTTACTCTATGCAGTTCTTTACCTCTGCTGAAACTATGAAGAAAGGTAAAATTAATGTTAAATGTGATGGTACTTTTTCTTGATAGATTTGCTTAATAACATTGCAGCCCATCGTGATGAAAATGCACTCATTTAAAACACTGTACGTCAGTCTGTTACAAAATTCTCTATCTTTATTTTAATTTCTGGCAAATCACACAGCCAGCTTTCTACAAAGATCACTTAACTTCCTCCATGGTGTTCATTGTATTCCAGCATGCTTTTTCAGTCCCCCCCCCCCCCTTCTGTTTTCAAAGGTGATACATGCGTGAGAGTATTTGGCTTATCACCTAATCAATATTCAAGAAATATACTTTAATGAGCTTTTACAAAAAACACTCCACAAATAACAAGATCTACCTGTAGGGTTGTGTGGGTGGAAAAGCAGGAGATAGGTTATTGATCATCTAGTTAAGTGAAATGAAATGTGTAGATGCAGACTTGCAACATCACATGAATTTTTCCAACGGAGGTACAAAATCTACTTGCCTTCTTTTTATTAATCATTTTTTGTTATAGTAAAGCATCCCCTTCAAAGGCACCAAAGGGGAAAAAAAAAGTCTTGCCAGAGGTGAATAAGCAAATAGAACTTTACAGTGCTGGGCTATAGCATAGTTTATAAAGCGATTTTGAAACTTGTGCCCTGTCTATACCTTACTAGCAATCTTGTTAGCACTATTCTACAAGAATTGTTGTTATATGCAGGTCTCTAAAAGATGGGAGGACTATTTTAAGACTCAATTTAGGGTGTGCTTTAACATGGATTCTTCTGATAAAGACAGCCGTTTATTTACTTGAAGTATTCATGATCTCCCCCCCCCCCCTTTTTTTTTAAATTTTATTTTGGTGAACTAGAATTTTGACATGCAAGAAGTGTGTGTGTGAGAGAGAGAGACTTGTATTTCAAGTGTGTAACAATAATATTGTTTTGTAGATTGACTTGAAGAATGCAGACCCTGAAAGGGTTGAGAAACAAATTGAAAAGCTATTTGATATCTCTAAGGATGAATGTATTAGGGTAAGATCTTTTAAAAATTTTTTAAAAATCTGGATGTTTAGCAACTGGTTGATTATTAGACTTCTTAAAATCCTGTTTGGAGCTCAAATGAAAAATGTGCACTCTTTAAAAAAGTAACAGACTAACACAGCTACCCCTCTGATATTTAAAAAAGTAAATCAATTCCTGAATTGTGTTTTTTTTTTTTTTTTTTTTTTTTTTGACATGCACTGTATATTTCTTCTTACTGTGTTAAGGAGAGGGAAAAGGTCCTTTTTGAGATTAACGTCCATCTAGAAAACAGAAGAGTAATGAAAACACTTTGAAATAAAGTATCAGATTTTTGGGACTAATGGATAGAGGCTTCAACGAAAATTTTGAAATTATTTCCTGTACTGTGTGTATGCCAGATTCTATCATGTTCTCTTTCCCTGACATCTTTCCTTCTGCATGAGATGTCTTTTTCTCTACTATGGAATGTTTGTGACATATCAGGTTCCTTTAATAGAGTTTAACAAAGGCTTGAGTTAACATGCGCAGAAGCTTGTCTGTAGCTAAGTATCATACTTTTAACATGTCAAAATTAAGATGGCATTCATTTTCAATTTAATAGATAATGTATATCAGCAGACTTATTCCCAATAAAACTTTTTTCTGAACTTGTTTTAGATTTCTGCTAAACTAGGAACGAATGTGGAAAAGGTTCTTCAGGAAGTTATTGAAAAGGTTCCACCGTAAGTTTTGGTGTTTTTATGAGTTTTACGGAGCCAGTGGTAGACTTTGCTTATTTATGATGGTAACTAGCTTTTGGTAACTAGACAGATTTTTGAGCTGCTCTTTTAAATTCCTTATACCAAATCTATTCTGCATGAAATGTCTCACTTGTGGTTTGCTGTTACTGGATTGGGAGGGTGGGATTCTTGTTTTTGAGGTGACTAGGACAAGATTTCATTTCATTTTGAGAAATGAAATTTGGAGAAAAGAGATTTTTTCAGGAAATAATTCCCATATATACGGGGGCGGAGGGGAAATACACACATGGTTGAAAGGATTTACCAAGGTGTATTTCCCCTCCGCCCCCGTATATATGGGAATTATTAAAGATGAATATAACACAAAAACCATTAACATAGGTGATATTATATGAAGTGGAGAGAGAGAGAGAGAGAAAATCCATTACATTCTAACACTACTGGTGTAAGCCCACAAACAAGGGAGCAGAGAGAAAGCAAGACCATTTTTGTGATTGGTTATTTAAATTTCCTTTTTAGAAATGATGTACTTTCCCCAGCTATTATTTTGTAAGTAACTGGAGATCAATCCAGGGAAGCACAGATTTCTGACATATTTATATTTAATCAGATGTTTTAGATTTTCACTCTCTTCTGAGCATTACATTGTTTAGTTACATTACATTACGTTACGTTACATTACATAATTGTTCCAGGGCCCCGAGTTACCAATACGCATTTTCAGTTTTTACAGCCTGAACTGCAGTTTAATCGAGACTTTTATTTGGGAATTTGACCATTGTCAGCACGACAAGAAAGGCTGCTAAATCCCAGTTCAACTTTAAATCAGCATTTTGCTTTTAATTCTAATTGTTTCTTATTAGGTAATATCTACAGTGATAAATGCCAAACAGAACCTAAACGATAATGAAGTCAGTGGGGGATGGAAGAACTGTATCAGTGTGATATTCTTGATGATCAGAACTTTAGTGGGGAAAAAACACTTTAATGGTTTAAAATTAATTTCTGCCATCATGAAATAAAGCTCAGCGACAACAACAAAATATACACTTAATTTGGAACATTAATATTATTAAGAGATCAGTCTGCTGGCATAGGTTTATGATCAGAAATGGAAGTGTGGAATGGCTTAAAAATCTTCTCATAATATTCTATATGCCATAAATAGCAAATCTCCTATTTCACACAGCTTCAAGAGTTTTGTTTTCTGCACTTAGATTAGCATCTACTTTTGTATGAACATTTTGTTTGAATGTTTTGAAACAGATGAATTTACATTTGACTTTCAGTGAAAAATAGTCTACAATTCATGTTCTTATTTAATACATATTAAATGTATTTTTTACATTTTTCTTAATAGACCCAATGTTAACATTAGAGACCCACTGAAAGCCTTGGTATTTGACTCCACCTTCGACCACTACAGGGGTGTAATAGCTAACATTGCGCTCTTTGGTGGAGAGGTTCAGAAAGGACATAAGATTGTGTCTGCTCACACAAGGAAGACCTATGAAGTTAACGAAGTAGGAATTCTGACGCCAAATGAACAGCCAACTCATAAATTGTAAGTAAGAAGTTCTTTGGGGGGAAAAAAACATAATAAATGAGTATTAGAATAATCTGATATAATGTCTTGAATCTCTAGATCATCTGTTCAGTTTTAGCCTTGGATGGTTGAGACGGGGTTGGGGTGGATTTTTGAAAGCACTCAGCATTGTTTCTCACTGTTCCATTTAAATTTAGGCCAATGCTGAGCATTTTGAAAATCCCACTCTGAAATTCTTTGTCTAGGAGCTTCATGGCTTGAGTTGCTATTCTCAGTCAATTCTAGTAAGCAAGTGTCCACAACACATACATGCAAACCACCAACTTCACTGTTGGGACCCTTCTTTGCAGTGTGAGCAGAGAGAAATCAAGGACTGAATGGATTTGGTGACAGAACTACCCTTTCATCTATAGAGCTACCAATACGACTTAGGCACAAGTTTAGGTTAGGAGCTTACTGGATAGCTGTTGCTCATTGTATATCGGTTCTTCAACTAAAAAGATGATTTAAAAATGCCTAAGTGACTTAGGAGTGAAAAACTTCATTGACTTTCAATGGGACTTATGATCAGAAGTCACTTAGGCACTTTTGGAAAAACACCTTCAGCCTCCTGAGTTATCAATCTTGCATCTTTAATGATCAGTCAATTCACACACATGTTTCGTGTGTAATAGATGATAAAAGTTTTACTTTCAAGGACACACTATGCCTCCCATTTGACAACACAATGCATTGCCATCAAACCAACACGTTTGACAATGTGATATCACATTAATGTAATAAAACTGGAAGAACAAAATGAAATGAGCCACCCTCTAAAAATCTTGAAGTCTAATTTATATTTTAAAATCATAAATATAGTTTTAAAAGGTTTTCAGAATGCATAACTACTCCTGTGGCGGTGAATCACAACCCCTTGAGATAAAATAATAATAAGAGAATAAAGGCCATTTGGTCTGGGAGCCTCCTGCTAGCTTCTTTAACAATCATGGGCATCTACTTGGTGTTACTCTCTCTTCCCCTAGTAGATAGAGTCTAAGAGGAATGGGCATTTTAGGTGTAAAAATAGGTAGAGGTTTTATTTATTTAAAGTAGGGAAACATGATTTCTTTTTAAAGGTTGTCTACAGCTAAATGGGCAGCCTAAGTGCTGATGGTATTTTAATTATTGTGAAAGCACTCATAACTCTGGTGCTCACACTTGTTATGGAGCAAAAGTAAATTGTGTACTGGGTTTTTTTATTTTCCAGTCCTTTCCCACCTAAATTTCCTGGGGGCACTGATCTGATATCTCGGACACAAAAGCCATCAGAGCAGTGCTTGAATAGCATGCTGAACATGTAGTCTGAGCCTCCAATTCATCCATAGAGGCTATCTTGGGTAAGAGTGGAAGGTGGGGGCATCATCTTATAGTTGCTGCTGGGACACCTGTTGAAGTTCTGTGCATAACTGCAATGCAGAACAGTATGGAGAGTGGTCTGTGATTGATGGTCAAAGCAAGTGAGGCAGGAAGCTGTTTATCTACCCAAACAGGGAAGGCCTTTAGTGTAAGTCTCCAGGTGCAATTGCTGTTGAAAACTAGTTCATCTCCCCTGCAGTGTGAGGGAAAGCAGGTAGCCGTAGTCAAAGAGTGGAGGTAAGTTCTGACAAAATTTGCAGCTGAATGCTGATTAAAGGCCCTTCTCGGAGGTTTTCAGTGAAGCTGGGGAAGGCTGAACTACCTGCTTTTCTGACTGCACAGCTCTACATTTAACCATCTACCTTGGATTCCCATACCACCAGCAGCATACGATGGTGATCCACCTGCTTCCACAACCCAGGTAGTTACTGGGGTTTGAGGGCAAACAGAGGGGTGACATTGCTTCTTGCCCAAGCAGTCCTTTCCTTGTATCTGAAACTGACTTTGTAGTGTGTGGATACTACTTTGGCTTCTGTGTCCTACATGTCAGAAAAGTACCTCCCAGCCCCTGCCTTGAAACAGCGTAAATCCAAAAACTCAGCCTCAAATAGACATTTAACCTCGAATAGTAACTAGGTCCTAGATCCATCTGTAAAGAGAGTCTCTAGGGGTATGTAAACAAGGGAGGAACAATTTTGGGTTGAGTATGTGCACTTTGGGGGAGAACATGTGCTTATATTCCTGAGGGGGCTAATTGCAGAGGGAGAAACTTGAAATATTGTTAAACAAGATAAATATTTCCACGTAATGCCAATTTTATTTAGATATGCTGGACAGGTGGGCTATCTGATTGCTGGGATGAAAGAGGTTACGGAAGCCCAAATAGGAGACACGCTGTATTTACATAAGCAGCCAGTGGAGCCTTTGCCTGGCTTTAAATCAGCGAAACCAATGGTCTTTGCAGGTGAGGAGTATATTGATTCAAAAACTGGAAGCAGTTTTATGTTACATACAAGAGTAGGAGAGCTACTCAGGCAACTGAAATTTAAGAACATGCATCCACATTAAGGGGATTTGAAGAAAGCACACTAGCAGAGTTACTGTAGCGTGGTATGTGATGCCTATATAACCTTGTAAAACTTTCCTGTGTTTGACTTAGACAAGACTAAGAAAGCTTGCAGATAGCCTCTTATTTAAAAGCAAACACTTATTTTCACTATGGAAGGATCATCTTAGCTCACATAGGCCTGTCATGGCTGAAAATAAACTTGTACATCTTCAAGAATCGTGTCACTAATTTGGACTTGTTCCTCCTGATAAGCAATTTCTGCTGTCTATTGTGAACCATTTTCTATAGGAAAAGCCTTATTTTATCATTAGCAGCCCTTGTTTCACACCTTTAAAAAAAAAAAAAAAAAAAAAAAAAAAAAAGTGATGTGTGACCAAAACTGGTTGTCAAAATGATCCTGCAAAACATTTAAGTGTGTGCTTAACTTCAAGCATGTCAGTAGTGACATTGACTTTCTGTCACTGCTTGGTCTAGTAGGTTCACAGGAGGCACTATTTCTGTCTACAGAAAATGGGGAAATAATTGTAAGGAAAAGCAGCAGAAGAAAAGAGCCGCATTAATTATCTTCTGAACCTGTGTTGAGAGAATGGAAAAAGTTCACTTACTTCCTCAGATGCATGATCATACTGGAGGCTATAAAAGAAGATAATTATCTTGGGCTAATTTGCAGTGTGCTTCTGCAGTTCAGTTCTTGTTTGCCAAGATATGAAGCTAAAATATATCTTTATGAAATGCCTGTGGATCTAATGTAAAAGTAATAAAACCAAAAACAAACAAAAAACAAAACCCAGAATTTCCGGGATAGGGAGTTCACATACAAGTCTTCCTTTCTTTAAAATCTTCAGATCAATCATACCTTTGTTACAGTTGCTTTCCTTTGAAGTTGGAAAAAATCTGAGTGTCTTCTATTCTCCTCACAGGCCCTTAGGCTTTTGCTAGGCTGCTGCTTGACCATTTGCATCTTTAACTATGTTTGAGGGGAAGGAGTGGCTTACCCATCTGAAAAGCAAAGGAATGGAGCAGGAACTCATTGATACATATTTAGTTGCTTTACAACAACAATTTGCCTGGCACCATGGAACCGCTGCTGTTTTGTTGAGCATTCTGCTCCTTCAAATCATGAGCTATGCTGAACTCCACTACAATCTGGTTCTGTGTGCTCTTGATATGTGGGTCATGTTAAGCACAAACATTAAAACAGTTAATTCTGGCATGTCTTAAACTTTTGAGGGTTTAACTTTGAAAGCTTAATAATGTCCTTCTAACATTTTTTAATGGAATAATGTATAGAGTCATAGTTTAATGCCAAAAGGGATCACTAGATCATCTAGTCCAGGGGTTCTCAAACTTCATTGCACCGTGACCCCCTTCTGACAACAAAAATTACTTCACGCCCCCAGGAGGGGGGACCGAAGCCTGAGCCTGCCCGAGCCCTACTGCCCCGGGTGGGGGGGCCAAAGCCCGAGCCTCATCGCTTTGGGCAGGGGGGGCCAAAGCTGAATCAAGGGCTTCAGCCCCAGGCAGGGGGCCAGCAACCTGAGCCACACCACACAGGGCTGAAGCTCTCTAGCTTTGGCTTCGGCCCTGGGCAGTGGGGCTCAGGCTTCAGCCCTGGGCCCCAGCAAGTCTAAGCCAGCCCTGGCGACCCCATTTGGGGTCTTGACCCACAGTTTGAGAATTGCTGATCTAGTCTGATCTCCTGCATATCATAGACCACCACCCAGGACCCACACACTAAATCTAACAGTGGAAATAACAGAGGCAAGAGAATAGGACAGACCGAGGTGCACCAGTGCATGAGGCCCCTGCAGTGGCAGGGAAACGATTAAATGAGATATACCCAAATAATCCTGGTAAGGGATCCACACCCACATGCTTCCGAGGAAGGCAAAAAAACCCCAAAGTCGCTGCCAGTCTGACCTGGGGAGGGGGAGTCCTTCCCGACCCCACTTATGGTGATCAGTTAGACTGAGTATATGAGCAAGAACCAGCCAGCCAAGCACCTGAGAGAGAGAGCGAGAGAGAATGCTTGGTGCCATCTCAGAGCCCTGGCCCACCCTGCCAAGTATCCTGTCTCCAGCTGTGGCCATCCCTGATGCTTCAGAGGAAGAAGATTAAAAAGCCTCCCCGAATATATGGGCACATAGGGGTGGGGGGAGAGGTGTCACTTCCTGACCCCTGCAAGTGGCCGGCTGAACCCTGAAGCATGAGCTTTAGGAACATAAACTGGAAGTGAGCCCCAGGGCTGCTGTTCTCTGTCCCCCACCATCACAGGCAAACCTGTCATACAATTGCACTCCTAAATGTGTCCTGCTCTCTCAAAACTAAGGTGTTTGCCCCCACAGCTACTACTGGGAGGCTGTTCCAGAATCTCACCCTTCTGGTGGTTAGAAACCTTCTAATTTCCAGTCTGAATTTGTTCATGGCCATTTTATATCATTTGTTCTTGTGCCAACATTGTCCTTTAGCTTAAATAGCTCTTCGTTGTCCATGGTACTTACCCCCTTAATGTATTTATAGAGAACAATCATATAGACTCTCAGCCTTCTTTTTGTGATACTGAACAAGCCAAGCTCGTTTAGTCCCATCTCATAAAATAGGCCTTCCATTTCTCTGTTCATCCTAGTGGCTCTTGTCTACACCTGTTTCAGTTTGAATTAATCTTTCTTGAGCATGGTTGACCAGAATTGTACACAGTATTCCAGATGAGGTCTGACCAATGCCTTGTACAATGGCATTAATACTTTTCTATCTCTACTGGAAACGTCTCACCTAATATGTCCTAGGATTGCATTTACCTTTTTCACAGATGCATCATGTTTGTTGCTCATCCTCTGATTGACCTACACACCCAGGTCTCTCTCCTCTGTCATTTCCAACTGATGAGCCACCAGGTTGTAGCATAAATTCTGATTATTAGACCCCAAGTACATGACCTTGCACTTTGTACTAGTGAATTCCATCCCATTTCGGTCACTCCAGTTTTCAAGGTCATTCAGATAATCTTGTGTAATAATCTGATCCTTCTCTTTATGACGATGCCTCCAAACTTGTATCAACAGCAAATTTTATTAGCACACACCTACTTTTTGTGCCAAGGTTATTAATAAAAATATTGAATAAGATTGGTCCCTAGACTGATCCTTGAGGAACTCCACTAGTATCCTCTCTCCAGTCCAATAATTCACCTTTCAGCACAACCCAGTGCTGTTTCCCCTTTGGCCAATTTCTTATTCGCCTTACAATGCTTGTACTGATCCCCATCTTCCCTAATTTAACTAATAATTTTATGTGTGGTCAAATGCTTTACTGAAGTCCAATTGTATTCAATCTTTTAGATAAGCAAAGTGCAGTAAACATTATTTTCTCAAAAGATGAAATTAGGTTAGTCCAGCATGATCTACCATTGGTAAACCCTTTACCATTTACCTGTATTAATTTAATTATTCTTTCCTTCAAGATTTGTTCTAAAACCTTGCATACCACTGAGGTCAGTCTAGCAGGTTTGTAATTGCTGGATCACTTTTTTTCCCCCTTTCTTAAAAATAAGTACAACATTAGCTGTTCTCAAGTCATATGGTTCTACCCCTGAGTAGATAGATTTATTTACTTAAATCCTTGCTACTGGACTCGCAATCTCACATGCCAGTTCTTTCAGTATTCTGGGAGGGAAGTTATCTGTTTTTCCCCACTCCCCTTTCATCCAACTGGAACGCATCAAGCTCTTTAAGTTTTTCTTTCACCTCAATTGTGGTAATTTCCATTTCTGGACATTCATTTTCATCAGTCATGGTGCCTTCATGCACATGTTCCATATGATCATAATAATTGAAAACTGAGGCAAAGTATTCATTTAGTTTTTGGGCCATACCTAGATTATCTTTAGTCTCCTTCCTATCTACACTGCATAGCTGCCAACATCATCCTTCCTTTTTCTCTTTTTTATTTATATAACTAAAAACCCTCTTATTTTAATTTCTTTGGCAAGAGCTAATTCAGCTTGATTTTTAGAAATTCTCACTTTATTCCTGCATTTTCTAACCTCCATGATGTATCTTTCTTTGCTGGTAATCCCTTTTCCCATCCCTATAGGCCTTCCCTTACTCTTAATAACCTTTTTGAGGTGGTTATTCATCAAGCTGGACCTGGAACCTTTCCCTACAAGTTTTTTCCCCTTCCTTGGGATGCAGATTTCTCAGATAGTTTTTGTATAGTTCATTTGAAGAAATTCCAAGCCTCCACATTTAAGTCATTGAGCTCTTCAGTACAGTTGACTTCTTTGGGAAATTAAGGTTATTAGTTAAAATCTGCCTGTAGTGGGGTCGAGCCGGGGCTCTACCCTCCGGGACGGAGGGGCGCCACACCGGCTCACTGTAGCACAGACAGTCAAGGTTCCGGCCCCTTTCCGCAGGGCTTAGCAAACACTCAGCTAGCTCAGGCCCTTTGGTGCAGGGGCTGAGCAATAGCCCCCAGTTTAAGCAGGCCCTGGGTCAGGGCGGGGCACAAACAGTCACAGCTCAGGCCCTTGGATGCAGGGGCTGAGCAAACAATCAGTCAAGGAGCCCGAGCCCTGGTTCAGGGCGGGGCACAAACAGTTACGGCTCAGGCCCTTGAGTGCAGGGGCTGAGCAAACAAGCAGCTAAGGAGCTCAGGCCCTCTGGTGCAAGGCTGAGCAGGCAAGCAGTTAAGTAGCTCAGGCCCTCTGGTGCAGGGCTGAGCAGACAAGCAGTTAAGGAGTTCAGGCCCTATGGGGCAGGGATGAGCAGGCAAGCAGTTAAGGAGCTCAGGCCCTCTGGTGCAGGGCTGAGCAGACAAGCAGTTAAGGAGCTCAGGCCCTGGTTCAGGGCGGGGCACAAACAGTCCCAACTCAGGCCCTTGAATGCAGGGGCTGAGCAACCAAGCAATTGGGGTAAGCTCAGGCTCCTACACCTGAGCGTCGGGTGAGGGGGAAGCCTGCCACCCGTGAACGGGGTGGCAGGGGGGAACGCAGGCCCACCCACTACACTGCGTTCCAGCCCGGGGCCCTAGCAGCGGTTACTGCTGCTGCTGGTCAGTGGGGTATCCTGACCGAAACACACTGACATCGGCTCACAGGCCTCTGCAGCCTGACCGGGGTCGGCTACCCCCGGGCTACTTCCATGTTCCCCCTCGGGGCCTACCTCATTGGCGACAGCGGGCTCGGGCCAGTCCAAGAGCATTGGTTCCTCGGGTGCGGGGCTTGGGGGCCGGTCCGGCTGCTCTCCACCAGGGTAGCTGGCCCAGGGCAGGCTTGGCTCCTCGGGGTAGCTGGCCCGGGGCAAGCTTGGCCAGTCCTCCTCGGGGTAGCTGGTCTGGGGCAGACTTGGCCAGTCCTCCTCGGGGTACCTGGCAAGAGGTAGGCTCGACCAACGCGGTGGGGTAGCAGGCGGCCTGGGGCTGTCTCCCAAGCGGGAGCTCGGCCCAGGACGTCTGCTCTTTCTGGCGGCCTGGGCTTCACTGAGCTCTGCCGGCGGGCTTTTATACTTGCGGGTCGGGGCTGTGACCTCGGAGGGGCGGGGCCCGGACCCGGTGGCTCCGCCCCCGTTGGGGTCAGGGGAAGTTCGGCCCTCTGCGGGACGGAGGGGCGCCACACCGGCTAACTACACTGCCCTTTTAAAATAAAAAACCATAGTTGACAACCTGGTTTTGATTATCCTTCTATTTAATATATTAATTTGTGATCACTTGATCCAAAGCTATTTCCTACAACCAGCTCTTCTACTTACTAAAACTAAGTCTAAAATTGCATCACCTCTTGTTGGTCTAGTGACAATTTGAAGAAGAAAACTAATCTATCACATCCAGGAATAACTGGGCCCTAAGAGTGTTAGTAATATTTATTCTCCAATCTATATCAGGGAAGTTAGTCTCCCATTATGATATAATTTCCAAAACTATTTATCACTGATATTAAAGAGATTGCTATCCATATCCAAGTCTGACCCTTGGGGGAGAAGAGACTATAACAGACCCATAACACTATCCCAACACACCTCTTTTACAATCCTTCCTCAAAGTGATTGTGACCCAAATAATTTGTTTTTTCCATACTATCACTTGTATTTCTTTACAGTTTATAGCTTCATTGATGTACAGTTCACATCATGTTTACCTTTCTTTCTTTCTCTTCTTAACAGCACATACTCTTCAATACCTATATTCCAGTCATGAGTGCTATTCCACCATGTGTCTGTAATCCCTATAATTTCTGGTTTGACCTCCTGCAACAGTAGTTCCAGTTCCTCCATTTTATTCCCCAAACTCCTTGCATTCTTGAACAAGCATTTCAGTTGTTTCCCTTGGACCTCACCCAGTTTTCTAGCTTGTGGTGTTCCATTATACCTTACTGTGTCTTCATTTAGCTGATTTTCCTGCTTCTATGTATTGATGCCAGGCATGGAGATTTTATGAGTCTCTCCCAACCTTCTTCCCACATCTAATTTAAACCCAGGTACTCAAGTGGAGTCCATTAGTTGAGAAGAGTCTTGTTTCCCTAAATGCCTCCCAATAGTAGATCATCCCAAAACATTCCTTGTTGCACCAATCCTTGAGCTATTTGTTGATCTTAATTGTCTTGTCATGCCTTCTCCCTCCTTCTCTAGGGACCAGAAGTATTCCACTGAAAATCACCCGAGCTTTCACTTCTTTTAGCATCTTACTCAGCTGAGCATAGTCATACTTGATCTATTTCGATGAGAATCTAGCAGTATCCTTCATCTTGACTTGCAGAACAACTAGTGGATTTTTGCCCACTTCTATCAGGATCCTCTTCAGCTCACATCCACATATTGTATCCTGGCTCCTGGGACATAGCACACTTTTCTGTTCTCTGGATCTGTTCTGGTTATAGGCCTGTCAATTCTTCTGAGTATAGGGACCCTGATCACATAGACCTGTCTGTTCCTGGTATTAGTATGAATACTTGCGTGTTATCCTCCATTTTCCTTAGGCTCGGGTCCATCATCTCTTCCTCTTTTCTGCAGGAACTGGTTTCCTTTCTTTTCTTTCTTGCCACCACATCTTCTGCCTGTTTTTAATTCTCATTCTTCAGTGCAGCAAAACTGTTACTTGACTCAATTTCACCACCGCTAGGTGGTCTCTTCCTCTGCTTTGTCTTTATGGTTACATTTTCCCGTGGATTTGGCAGTCCTCCCTTTAGCTGCTTTTGTTTGACAGGTGTCCACAGATCTTTAGTTGCTGTACCACCTTCTCTGTCCTCTTCTGCATTATACCTTCAAATCCCCTTTTAAATTCCATCATCATCTCCAGCTTCATCTCTAATCCTTGGATCCGCTCTGCCAAGTGACTTTTCATGCATAAGTAGCTTCCACCAGATACTCCCTCAAGGATGATGTACGTCCCCCAGCTTCTGCATCTAACCATCTTCTTTCCTCTCCTCTCCTCAGTAGGAGCCTCATTAGCAATCATTGTTTTCTCTTCCTAGATACTGTTCACTGCTCCAATGTTTGTCAGTAACTGGCTTTTAAATCTGGCCAGACTAAATCAGCTCCACTCCCTCATTAAGGAATATTAGCAAGCACATTTAACATAAACATTCTTTAGAAGACGTGATTGTGCTTTATGAAATCTGATTATGAATACTTCCTATAAAGCTCTTATTGGAAAATACAGTAAACACTTATGGCCCAGATTGTGCCTAGCCCTTACATGGGCATGTGCAGGTAAATGGAGAAAGTAGTACAGTGATACTTCTGCCATGTTCAGTGTGCACCAGAAAGGGTGGGCCATGTTGTTTTCACTCCTCTGCACTGTCCTTCAGACTTGTACCAGCACCAATACCATTGAGGAGGATAGCAGTGCTAAGATACCCCCTACATTGAGGGAACTCCAGGAGGTACCCTGTGTCCAGAAGGGGAGCTTCTTGGTGCAGAGCAATCTACACTGGTCCCAAGACATGGCTGTGCCATAGAGGCACAACAGATCCTGTAACTAGCACTGTTTGTCACTCTGACAGTTTCACTATTTAAATGTTTTCACTTTTAATGATTTGATGTGGCACATTACTTCCTTGCCTTTTGCTGCACATGTATTTGGCAGGAGCGTTTCATCGAAAGGCATTAATTCTGTTTGTGTGGTATAAATTCTATGTGTAGGGCAGGTTACAGCAGGAGTTATGTAAAATTACAGATGTTGTTTTATTGCTTGGGAAGCATTTGAGTATTAATCCCTTACAATTGATAGATGCCCTTCAGTAATGCTGCAAATGTGTTACACCCACACATTTTTGACCTATTATCTTTCAGAGCCATTCAGTTTCCCATAGAGTTAATCTTATTTGTCGGGTTTGAACTGTAACAATTTTTCATGATATTTCTATCTCGGGTTCTCAAACTGGGGTCGGGACCCCTCAGGGAGTCGCGAGATTATTACATGGGGGGTTGCGAGCTGTCAGCCTCCACCCCAAACACCACTTTGCCTCCAGCATTTATAATGGTGTTAAATATATTAAAATGTGTTTTAATTTATAAGGGGGGGTTGCACTCAGAGGCTTGCTATGTGAAAGGGGTCACCAGTACAAAAGTTTGAGAACCACTGTTCTATCTGAAGTAATTCTAAAATTTTAAAGTTGCAGTTGAAATGTATTCACCTCGTCCTGGTGAATTTCTAAGAATATGAACATCTCTGGGCATTCAGTTCTTTTGAACTCTTTCATATGAGATGCATATTTCTGTAGGACAGGTGAATTGGAATGGAAGAAAGATATTCCCTATTCATTACATTGCTTATATTTAAGGATTTAAATGAAAGATAAACTCTGTCAAGATGTAGCTAAATGGCTCAAAAGGGTTAACTGGTTCAGCTAGATCAGGTTCTTTATCATGTCAAGTTTGATTGAATGTGAACAGCGTAATGTGTTTCTACAGGAATGTACCCAGTAGACCAGTCGGAATATAACAACCTGAAAAGTGCTATAGAAAAACTGACACTAAATGATTCCAGTGTAACTATTCATCGGGATAGCAGCCTTGCCTTAGGAGCTGGTTGGAGGTGAGACTACAATTACTACACTTTAATTTTAGGAAGTGTCTTATAATATACATGGGGACTTGTTGATGGTATAGGTCTTTTACTTCTGGGGATTTTAACTCTAATTAATATTAGGCCTAAAGTGGGTACTTGATCTTAATTCTAGTCCATATTCGTATACAGCACACAATTTGTCTTGATTGGCAGTCTTTCTTCAAGAGAAGCCCTGGAGTAGAGCTGGAAGAAATTTCTCAGATGAATAGTGAATTTACGAAAAAGTTCAGTTTTTGGGGTGTGTGTCTTTGTCTGTCTGTCTCACTAACCACTGGGCTAAGGGTTATAACACAATTGGGCATAGAGGAGATTTGAATCCACATCTCTGACCTACCTTAGCTACCACCCAGGTGAGTGCCGTAATCGCCAGGCTATAGAGCCGTTTTCACTCTCTGGCACGATGAGTATTTATACAAAATGGAACAGGAGAAATTGAGAGCAACCCATTCTAGAATTGCCTATAGCCTGGTGGTTAGCATACTCATCAGGGTGGGTGGAGATGCCCTGCTCCAGAGTGGGGATTGAAACCTCTCTCTCCCACATCTCAGGCAAGTGCCCTAACCACTGGGTTAAAGGTTATAAGGGACAACATTCATTCTCTCTCTCGCTCTCACATGCTGTTCTGAAGCTGCCTGGAATGAAACTCTTTTTTGATTTGCTGACAAATTCTAGACACAAACAAAATTTTGGGGGTTTTTGGTCCCCTCTTCTCCCTCTTCCCCCCCCTCCCCTCCCCGTTTGCTGGCCAAACCAAACCAAAAAAACAATTATTTGCTCAGCTCTATCCCGGAGTCAAAGGGCACAGATGTCATTAGTCAGGATTAAGGATTGCCTTTACTGTGCTTGACATTGCCAAATCATTTAGTCTCCTAGTACTGTATTAATAATGTAAAATAATACCATAGGAATACAGTGCACATTTTGAAAAACAAGGTTTGTTTGTTTTTTTTTTTCAGGTTGGGGTTTCTTGGTCTTCTACATCTGGAAGTTTTTAATCAGCGCTTGGAGCAAGAATACAATGCATCTGTCATTTTGACTGCACCCACTGTTCCATATAAGGCTGTTCTTTCCTCAGCAAAATTGATAAAGGTATTTTAATTTATTTACAGGAGCTTGAAATGAACATCAGCCTAAAACATTTTCTAAGCCAGTAAAATAAATTGTAGATCAGTATCTTCTTATAGGTGAAGCAGCAGCATCGTCTCCCTTGTTTAGGTTCCTTAGCACTATACGTTAGAAAGAACCCACAGCCTGAAGCTTTTTTCTTTCTCCTCCTCCCTCCCCCTCCCCCCCCCCCCCAAAAGAGCTCTAGTGTCTCTGTAGCTTGCAGCACAGCATTGAAATTGGGCAGGGGATAGTCCTGGGAACCAGGAGGCTTTTTGCTGGCTCCATGTGCACATGTACGAAATTTGCTGAGTTACGAGCTCTTGAAAATTGCCATTTATGCCCTGCGTTTGTCTTGCTGTGAAAAACCCTGCATGCTCTATATGTGCCTGGTAGAGCTGTCAAGCTATTAAAAAGATTAATAGCAATTAATCGTGATGTTAAACAATAATAGAATATCATTTATTTAAATACTTTTGAATGTTTTCTACATTTTCAACTATATTGATTTCAATTACAACACAGAATACAAAGTGTACAGTGCTCACTTTATATTTTCATTACAGATATTTGCACTGTAAAAAAACAAAAGAAATAGTATTTTTCAATTCATTTAATACAAGTACTGTAGTGCAATCTCTTTACCATGACAGTTGAACTTACATGTAAAATTATAGAGCCGAGAAGTCCACTCAGTCCTACTTCTTGTTCAGACAATCGCACAGACAAACAAGTTTATTTACATTTGAAGGAGATAATGCTTCTTGTTTACAATGTCACCTGTTTTGGATTGTTACAAGCAGGACCCGTCAGCATGGACGCATGTCCTCTGGAATGGTGGTTGAAGCATGAAGGGACATATGAATTTTTAGTGCATCTGGCACCTAAATACTTTGCAATGCTGGCTACAAACATGCCATGCGAACGCCTGTTCTCACTTTCAGGTAACATTGTAAATAAGAAACGGGCAGCAGTATCTCCCGTAAATGTAAACAAACTTGTTTGTCTTAGCGATTGGCTGAACAAGAAGTAGGACTGGGTGGACTTGTAGGCGCTAAAGTTTTACATTGTTTTGTTTTTGAATCCAGTTACGTAACAAAAAAAAAATCTACATTTGTAAGTTACAGTTTCACGATAAAGAGATTGGCGCTACAGTACTTGCATGAGGTGAATTGAAAAATACTATTTCTTTTGTTTATCATTCTTACAGTACAAATATTTGTAATAAAAAATAATAATGTAAAGTGTCCACTGTACACTTTGTATTCTGTGTTGTAATTGAAATCAGCATATTTGAAAATGTAGAAAAACACATGAGTTAACTGCAATTAATCGACAGCCCTAGTGCCTCGTCATAACTCCATAATCATGCATTATCCCTGGGGATGGATGCATGCAAACCTGATTGATGAGGAAAAACCTTCTCCACATGGAGACATGCTCTTCTGTTAGATTTTGTACTGCAACAGAGAAGCGTTCATGTGGAGCTGCTGACAGATAAAGGATTCTCTCCCCTGCACTTTTGCCCCCCCATGTCTGCCCCCTCATCCAGTGTCAACTTCCAACTGAGCTTAACAAAACAAGGCAGGTAATATACAGACTTTGTTTGGAAGCAGTTAGGGTTGCTACACACCTAACATGCCTAGTGTACAAACCCATAGAAGCAAGGAAACAAAAAGTTAAGCCGCCTAACAGTACATATCATCTATCCTTGCGCCCACAGGTACATTATCACAATTACAATTACAGACCACACATCACAACTGTAACTGTTCATCTACAGATGCCAACCTTCCAGACTCCCTTTATCCACCCTTCAGCATACACCGCTCCTTGCTAAACTACCCTCTAAAGCATACCCAAACATCCACAACTGCTAGTGTTGGAGAAAACATCTGGAAAAGGGATGTGTGCAGAAGGGGGCAAACGGGGCAGAATCAAGGCTGCAATGTGTGGCATGTGGTATTACACTAGTTGTGGTAATGGTAAGTTGTGTGCCTGTGGGTGGGAGGGGCAAGCTGTTCATATTAGGTCAAAAGTAAAGGTGTTTGAGCTATTTCTCCTAGTCTGGGGCTTTACTTAGCATTTTCTTGCTTTTGTGGGTTTGTGTCTGGCATTTTTGTGGGTAACAACCTTAACTCCTTCACAGACCAAAAAAAAATGTATATTAATTCTGTGGGCATGGCACGTGTGCTCATGTGCCACACACAGAACACTACTGGGACACTGATAATATAGATTCTGCACCAAAGAGACGTGAGCTCAAGTCTCACTTGTTCTGCTGACTTGTGCCCTTCAAAATCCTTATTATTGAACAAGGCCTCCTATCCATTGAGAGTTTACACAAACTGGAGTTAGAATCTAGGTCTCTGATATGGCGGGACCCTAGTGTCAGGCTGGCCATTCAGTCACACTGTCTATACAATTTTTCCAAATCTATCTACTCAGCTAAGATGTCTGTAAAATGGGACTACTGCATATTTAACCCTCTGTTTGGAAAACATAACTTGTGGTCATGTAACTCAAGACCCATATCATAGTGCATCTGCACAAGAGGGCAGAATTAATGTTGCACAGGCAGGCAACTTTAATTCTGGCACTTCCTAACTTCAGGCTATGAAATCCAGCACTCAAAATAACATTATTTTATTTTTATGTAATTAAGTTTACATTGTGCTGCCTGTGAGAGATCCTGTCTCTAAGGCCTGGTCTACACTAGGCTTTTATGTCAAATTTAGCGCCGTTATATCGAATTAACCCTGCACCCGTCCACACCACGAAGCTATTTAGTTCGACATAGAGCTCTCTTTAAATCGATTTCTGTAAACCTCCCCAACGAGAGGAGTAGCGCTAAATTCGACATGGCCATGTCGAATTAGGCTAGGTGTGGATGGAATTCGACGGTAATAGCTCCGGGAGCTATCCCACAGTGCACCACTCTGTTGACGCTCTGGACAGCAGTCCGAGCTCGGATGCTCTGACCAGCCACACCCCGGGAAAATTTGAATTCCTTTTCCTGTCTGGGCAGTTTGAATCGCAGTTTCTGTTTTGACACCGTGGCGAGCTCAGCAGCAGTGGCAACGATGCAGAGCTCTCCAGCAGAGATGGCCGTGCAATCTCAGACTAGAAAGAGGGCCCCAGCATGGACTGATTGGGAAGTCTTGGATCTCATCGCTGTGTGGGGAGATGAGTCCGTGCTTTCCGAGCTGCGCTCCAAAAGACGGAATGCAAAGACCTATGAGAAGATCTCTAAAGCCATGGCAGAGAGAGGATACAGCCGGGATGCAACGCAGTGCCGCGTGAAAATCAAGGAGCTGAGACAAGGCTACCAGAAGACCAAAGAGGCAAACGGACGCTCCGGATCCCAGCCCCACACATCCCGTTTCTACGAGGCACTGCATTCCATCCTAGGTGCGGCCGCCACCACTACCCCACCCCTGACCGTGGACTCTGAGGATGAGATATTGTCCGCGGCCGGTTCCTCAGCGGACGGGGAAGAGGAGGAAGGAGATGAGGAGGACGAGGCAGTCGACAGCGCTTACAACGCTGATTTGCCCGACAGCCAGGAGCTCTTCATCACCCTCACAGAGATCCCCTACCAACCCTCCCCAGCCGTTATCCCAGACACAGATTCAGGGGAAGGATCAAGCAGTAAGTGTTTTAAATATCTAAACATTTATTTATAACATAACTGGCATATTTAAAATATTAACAATAGGTAAAGTGCTTCAAAACATGTAAACAGGAAAGTCCAACAAAACGGGAATCTGTGCAAAGTGTATCATGATTAGTCTGTCTTTGGGCGCTTCAATATATAGTCTATTTTCAAAAAATTTCACAATGTCCGCTTCATGATTATAATGCCCAAAACGCTGCACTCTTTTGTCCCTCCAAGGGCACCTAACCCAAAAACTGGTCAATGTATCCGGGGATAGAGGCGACATCCTCCGGGGAGAACTCCTCATAGGTCTCCTGCAGGTGTTTTTCAAGCCTCATGAGCAGGTTCCTGGGCAGGGAGAGCTTGTTAGGCCCCCCGTGGTATGAGACGTTTCCCTGCCACAACGCCAGCAGGTACTCGGGGATCATGGCCTTGCAGAGCATTGCTGCAAATGGCCCCGGTTTCTGCAGGCTGTCACGAAGCATCCGCTCCTTCTGGCTCGCAGAGACCTTCAGGAGGGTGATGTCTGGCATGACTCCCTGCTGTGAATTAGGTAGGGGAAAGTTAGTATTGGGACTGCTTGCCCGTCCCTTTACAGAACTGCAACCGCCGGTTTACAGCCACGCGGTTTACAGCCGCGAGGGGGTGGGACAGGGCCAGAGTTCATGCTTGCAGGATTGCTGCCAGCAGAGACTCGCATTGCTTTCTATGCGAAAGGAAGCCAGTGCCACTCTTAAAGTTTTAAGCAGCCACAAGTCTACGGCTTACCATGTTTGACAGCTAGACAAAGTCCGGTGTCCTGCCCTGCTCCTCAGCTCGCCACAGCAAGACCGCAGGCACTATAGGCGAGGGCCGAAAATTCGACCTTGTCCTCAGTGCGCGTGTGATAGGTGCTCTGCATGGTCTTGTTGAAAGACTATGTTCTCTGTTCACAGATACATTGATCTGTCTCAGGAATTCACTCCCTTTTTCCAATTCCCACAGCCACATCTGCCCAGAGGCTAGCGCACATTAGGAGGAGGAAGAAGAGGACACGGGAAGACATGTTTGCTGAACTAATGGGATGCTCCCGAGCACAGGCAGCCCAGCAGACACAGTGGAGGGAGAACTTGTCCCAAATGCACCGGGCAAACATGGAACGGGAGGAGAGGTGGCGACAGGAGGACTGGCAGGCTACTCAAACGCTGCTTGGACTAATGAGGGAGCAAACGGACACGCTCCGCCGCCTTGTGGATGTTCTGCAGGACCGGAGGCAGGAGGAGAGAGCCCCGCTGCAGTCTCTCTCTAACTGCCCTGCCCCGCCACCAAGTCCCATACCCCCCTCACC